CACACACACACAGGCAAAGCCCCCAGACCAGAGGCCCCGCACGCACACACACACCTGGGGAAAGCCCCCAGACCAGAGGCCCTGCATACACACACACACACACACACACACACACACACAGGCAAAGGCCCCAGACCAGAGGTCCTGTATACACACACACACAGAGGCAAAGCCCCCAGACCAGAGCTGTGGGACCAGGACAGGCACACATACACGCACACACACATACACATACATGCCCCAGGGGCCTTTCACCACCCAAAGTCACCAACCTGCCTTTGTAAGCGCCAAAGCCCTGCTGAGCCAGGCATGGAGAGAGGGCGACCAGCTGAAAGGTTCCCGGGGGCCATGGGAACCCAGGCCTGGAAAACGTTCCTCTCAGGGATCTAATGAGGCTACTTGCTGGGCAACAGCAGGCGGGAGAGGAGGTGCACAATAAACAGCACTGGGCCCAGGGATCTGGGCCCACCCAGGGACCCTGTCCAGCTTCTGCAACAAGCAGAGCAGTGGCAGGCAGGGCTGGGGGCTGGGAGGAAAGGCTGCACTCATCACTCCCTGAGGGACAGCCTGGGGACCCACCAGCAATGGGCACCTCCACGGCCAGCTCCTCTTCAGGAACCACCCGACCAAACCAGCCCTGCACCAGGGACGGCTCAAGGCCTCTCTGTCCAGTCACCAGTTCTGCTGGTCACTGGCTCAGCTGGCAACTGAGCGGCCCCCTCTGAGGCCCTGGATGAAGGAACTCCTTTGCTGTGTCTCCAAGAAATGAGCGTGCAGCCTGAGCTTGCACACTTCACTCTAAGTCCCGTCTCAGGTGATGCCAGCCCCTCCCTCCCTGTCACTCCCTCACCCCCTGCTCCGCCAGTCTGTCTGAACTCTGCACTAGGAGCGCAGATGTCACTTGGGGAAGTCAAGGCCCCTTTTCTGGAAGCACTGGAGTCCAGGGGCCCCTCACCACCATTCACATGTCACCATCACCCTGGGGGTGAGAGGCAGGGGGAGCAGCCCTATTTTATAGAAGAACTGGACCCAAGTGTCCCATTGAGAGTGTTTCTTACTTCTGCTGGGCACTGCGCTCCCCCCTACTTGGTCTACCCTGGCTCAGGGGCCACATGACCCAGGTCTGGCTCACCAGTATAGTCTCTCTCAAGCCCCAGTGACTGGTTTAAGGATGGCCATGTAACCACAGCCACCTCAGCGAGTTTGAGTCCGTCGCTGAGCCCTGCAGAGATGTGTTTTCTTTTCAAGGTGGCCTGCAGCTGCTGGCAGCCACATGAGCCACCGCAGGGAGACAGCCCACCTGAAAACGAAGCCAACACAGTAAGCTGGAGAGAGAAGAGGCCTGAAGTACCCCAACCCCCTGGGTCCAGCTCTGCCTGACATTCAGACATCCTCCAGATATTCCAATTGCATGAGACCATCAGTACCTCTTCCAGTTGAAGCCAATTTGAGTCTCTGTCACTTGCAACTAAGAGTCCCAAGGTCCTTACTGGGCTTCCCACCCAGTTCATTACATCCAGGAAGACCTTGCTGCCCCTTGATGCACCCAGAGTCAGGGGAAAGCTCCCACTTAGCTCAGGGGTGACAGTGGGCACTGCAGACACAGCCAATCCTGGCTAAGACCTCCTCTAGAAGGGGGCTGGGCCAAGGAGAGGAAGCCCCCTCCCTCATACCTCTGTCACCAAGGCCCAGACTCCACACCCCAGGCTCAGCTAGGCTACAGAGGACCTGGGGCTGCAGGGAAGCAGGAGGCCCAGGCTACAAGAGGCTGGGGGCAGGGGTTCTCATATCCTCCCCAGTGGCCTCCAGAGACTCCTCTATGGGAGGAATCAGGGAACCCAAAGGCATAGTGAGGCTGAAATGGACCCCATGGGGGAATTACCCTTATTCCCCTGCGTGATCCTGCTGGGCTCTGAGCTCCCTGCAGCCTAGGTCCTGCGACAGAGTGGGGCAGACAATGCTGTTAACAAAATCTGCTGAGTGCTTACTGCGGGCCCAGTGCTGGGGGCTTTAAATCCACAGCTGAGTATGACTGGTGCCTCCACTTAATGGATGTGGAAACTGAGGCACAGACAGGCTCAGTCATTTGGCTGAGGTC